GGGGATAAGGGAAGACAGGATGAATTATATGAGGACTCTGCTTCACTTTTTTATAATAGACTGTTTTCTTTAAGAGCAGCATGAGCTATCATTAAAGTGGAAATATAATTGTAGAATTCTTGCACCACAACACCTTTAAAAACGCATGGTGTTAAGAAACATTCAGCAACCCAATTATTTCATGCAGTTCTCATCCACCCAGAAAGTCGTCCTCAAAATAGAATGGAACTTCCTCTCCTTTGCCCATCTGGTATATACCTGGGGCAGAGTAATCAAGAACCTCATAACACTGCTGATCAGTATTCTTAACAAACAAAATTCAAATAAAATTCAAGGACTTCAACAAGTAATTTGCAAATGTTACTTCAATTCTTAATGGTACATTCAGTTTATATTACACCCTATGTTGAGGTAAGGCTCAAAAGGAACAAGATTTGTCCCCACAGAAATACGTGACCTTGAGCTCCATTCCCAGAAGTAGAAAGACAAATTAGACAGCTGGGCTTTCCAGTTTTAAGGAATATTTCCATTCAACTGTGAAGCAAGGGGAAAATGAAACAAATTCAAGATCTTTGCTATCTAGGAAGTTGGGAGAAGTTAGATGTACGAAGTATGATCAAATATGGTGGATGCTTAAAATGTTTCAAAATGTGTTACAGTAAAAGACACATTGCTATCCACCTCCCTTACTTTGAACACACTTAGCCCATCATTCTTGCCACTTTCTGATACAGTTCTGGAAGTCAGTCCTTCCTGTGAATGTGTTTAATTGCACAGTTGCGGCTGCCTCTGTGTCCCACAACCATTCACCGTGCTTACCTTTTATGGTCATTTTGCCTTTGGGGTACAGGTACAAGTTGCACAGTACCAGATCCAGCGAATAAGCCAGATGCAGGTATTCAACAACATTTTCGTGGGTCTGCTTTTCTGTGGAATGGCACTCGCAACAGAATTCAATTTTTTTTTTTTTAAATCACAACTTGTAAGAAAACTTCAGAAAAGAAGACTTCCACAACTGCTTCAGAAAGTGACAAGACAGACTCCTGCCAGGCTTGGTAGTGCAGACCTGCGATCTCAGCACTGGAGAGGCAGGGACAGGAGAACTGCCCTGAGCTTGAAGCCAGCCTGGGCTACATAGTAAGTTCATGGCCAGCCTGGGCTATCAGTAAGACTTTGTCTCAAAACAAGGATGACACCCTCAAAAAAAGACAAGAAAGACAGGATGTGTCTAAAGCATGAGTGAGTACCTTGAAAGAACTCATGTCAATGTCTTTTACTGTCATAAAATTTTTTATTCAAATATTGACTATATAGTTTGATCATACTTCATACTCTATATTCTGAAAAAAGTAAAAAATAAAAGGAAATCCAGGGAATAGGAAGCTTAAGAACTTAATATTTTATAACAGTAATAAACTCATTTATTTCATTTTTTTTCAGCCAAAGACATTTGAGGTTACCTATGATAGGCTAAAGTAGGAAGATGATGATGATGATGATTATGATAATTATTTCATTAACTCTTTGGAATAAACACTTACTATGGGTCACTGTGGGAAACACAATCCTTCCCATGGAGGATGACTGGAGACAAAACATTCGATCTGAAATGGATTATCAGGTCTCCAAATGTACAAAGGAACTCACAACTCATCTTGTCATGCCAAACTGGGAGGACCAGCACGGAGGTAGGATTAAGGAAGTACCATTGGAAAGGTTTCCAAGCGCTGAACCTTGTTCGAGGATGGAAAGGGCAGGAGGATGTAGAAAGGAGGATGCAGATCTTGCCAGTAAAGGAATTAGCATAAACCAAAGGAATGGAAATAGGTTACAACCAATTACATTTGAGTAAGGTGGAGGCTAAAGAGATGGGACAGATTAGTGAAAACTAAAGCTACCATTACTGAGTACTCACAGTGTGCCATGTACTATGCCAAACATTTCCTCTTTATTTTCTTTCTAATTCACTTTTAGTAAAACCAAGTCTGTGCTCAGATTCGTGTCCCTTGTCCTCCCAAGCCATACTCATTCCCCCCTTGTTGAATTCATACAGTCTCAGGGTTTGGGCACCAGATTTTTATTTAGTTTTTAGTTTTTGGTACTAGGAATCGAACTCAGGACCGTGTGCTTGCCAGGCAGGCACTTAGGCAGCTAAGCTATTTCCCTGGCCCTAGGGCACCAAATCCCTACTTCAGCCTGGACCTTTCTTCCCAGACCAGATTTACCTGTCCAATGACTATTTCATGTTTTTACTTGGTTGTCAAAGGGAAGCTCAAGCTTCACATGTCTGAAACATACCTGTCCATCCAACAAAATCAAAACAAGGAAAGCAAGCAGAAACTCCCATGTCTTGCAAATTTACCCAGCATCTTTCTACTTCTTATCACTTCCACACTGCCACCCACCCATCTCCAACCTGGATGGTGCAGCAGACTTCTACAGGCTTGCATATGACCTCGACACCATCCCCCGGGGCTGTGAGCCCATGCATTTCAGACCTTGTCATTTGTAGCACAGGGTCCAGCTATCAATTCTGTTGTGTCAATCGGAGATGAGGATTGAAGAGTCTTGTACAGATGACAGTAGAAATAATAAGACATTGATAGTGAATCTAAAAGGAAAAGCACAGGGTGTGGTGAAGAAGTTCAAGGACAAGACATTTGAGAACATCCAGAGGAGGACAAAAGACTCAACTTTTGAGAAATGTCAAGTCTTTGCTAACTGTCCCCTCAGCCCACCTTTCCAACTCTTCCATTAGTAATTCAAGACCTAGATTTAAACAGCAGGCCTGGTCACTCCATGGGGTGCCTCCATTGAGTGCCTCCCACAGTGGATTTTGAACTCATCTTGCACCCTGTACACACACAGCCCACCTGAACTGATCCAGGGCCTGGCAAGCTCTTGATGAGAGTATTTTATGCATAACACAACACAGTATCAAGGAGAGTGATGAGGTACATGAGAAGTGGCTGCTTTCTTCTAGAAGAACTAATTAAGATTTAACACAGGAGGTGTGGTTTTGGTGACTGAGCAAAGAACTGAATTTATCCAGGAAGATAATACAGATGGTGGGCAATACCTGGAGAGGAAGTATAGAAAGGAACACAGTGGAAGGAATGCCGAGGCTACTGAGACTACAGAAGAAGTGAGCAGCTGAGCCAGTGGCAAAGTGTGGGTGGTTGCCGTGGGCAGGGTGGGGGTAGATGCTTCAAAACAAGGAGTCACCACCCAGCAGGCAGAAGCTGCTTCCAAGGAAGCAGTGAGGGTCAGGAGCAGGCGTGATGGGCACAGATAGGATAGGTGTGCTCTTATCTTTTCAACTCTCAAGAATCATGTAAATTATGAGCTTCAAAAATGGAGAGTGGCCAGCGAGATAGCTCAGCGGACTAAGCACCTGCTTAGGCAAGGGCAGGGACTGGGGTTCGATCCCAGGCACCACATGCCGTGCGGGGCCCAAGCCCTTGGGCCCACTGAGTGCACACCTGTAATCCCAGCACTGGGGAGGCTGAAAACAGGAGGATCACTAGGAGTCCGAGCTGTTAGACCCTGTACCAAATACATAATGTGGGAGGCCAGAGGCTTAACAAGCAGAGGTTAAAATCAAACCTCTCAATGAGGTGTGAAGCAAGAAGTTAATGAGGTAGGAAGAGCAACCTTGTCCAGGGTTGCAAATCAAATCCACGTTTTCATTTCTGTCCTAAAGAATCCGATTGATGTCCCACTGAAGGATGCTGGGGATGCAACTTTTCACCCTGTACCAGTCACCCTGGCAAGTCTGGAGCGGGACTCCAGGGCCATCAGGCTGGCAGGTAGGCGTTCACCACCACCAACCATCACCATGAGCACCCTACCCGGGTTTGTCCGGATTCCACAGGAAAACCGGTCAGGCACAGCGCACTGTGGCACCCCATGACCCCTTTCTTGTCCTCCTGCCTGTCACGCAAAGCCTCCCCTCACTGACATGCGCGGGCTTTGGTCCCCGGCCGCCGGATGCCCAGAGCCTGGGCCGGGGCCTGCGCACGGCGGACGCCCGGTGGATGCCGTCGGGCTGCGGAGTGAGCGCTGCTCAGTTCCACTTCGCTCCCTCGGCACCGCAGGATGTGGCCAGAGAAGCCGCCCGGGGAGCAGAGGGCCGAGAAGGCGGGGTAGGGCTGGCCGGTGCGGCTTCAGCACGCGTGGCCACTGACCTTCCGCGCCGCGCAGCAGCTTGGCTCCGGCGTCCGGCGCCCGCGGCGCACGTAGGTCACCCGCCTCCTGCTGGCGCCTCGCGGAGGGCCGGGCGCGGGCTGCAGGTGCGG